CCCCAAAACCCCCAAAACCCCAAAACCCCAAAACCCCAAATCTTACTTTTAAATTGAAAACTATTTCGAAATATTAGAATTTAATAGATTAAAAATGGAAAAAGCGGGAGTTGAATACGATGAAGAAGAGAGAGCATATCTTGTAGAGGAGCTAAACTCAAAAGTCTCCATTGAGAGGCCAGAACCACCTAAGATCAACCCTAAGAAGGACGACTTGATATTTATGCAGCTTGACCTGGATTACTGCACTGAAAAACCTCCAGAGTCACTCAAAATGGGAGAGGAGCAGACAACAATTGTGCGTATGTTTGGAGTGACGAAGAGTCAGAACTCTGTGATGGTTCATATCTACAACTTCAGACCATACTTCTATGCCAGATGAATGAGTAAACATTTAGCTAACCTCTTTAGGGAATGACCACGAGTTCACTTCAAAAGACTTGGAAAGTATCAAAGATACCCTGAACAAAAGATTAGGAGATGTTGCTGAGATTGTTACTCATATCGAGCAGTGTACTAAGAAGTCCATCAAGAATTACTCTGAAGAGAAATCCACATTCATCAAAATCTACACAAGATACCCCACTGATGTCGCCAAATGCAGAGGGATGTTTGAGATCGGCTTCACTTATGACGATACTATTCACTTTGATACTACTACATTTGAGAGCAACATGCCTTATGGACTCAGATTCATGATCGATACAGGCATCTTTGGAATGGGCTGGATCGAACTCAAGAAAGGAACCTATACAGTAAGGAAGACTAACCGCAGATCCAATTGTCAGATCGAAGTCGATGTTTTTAATTATAATGATGTTGAGTGTCATCCATGTGAAGGAGAATTCGCCTCTATCGCTCCGTTGAGGATTTTATCATTTGATATTGAGTGCTCATCTGCTAAAGGACACTTCCCAAAGGCAGATAAAGATCCTGTTATTCAAATCGCTAATATTGTTAAGCTGCAAGGCGATGAGCAACCATTTATCCGGAATGTGTTTGTACTAGGAACTTGTGCATCAATAGCTGGAACTGAGGTTCATGAATTCGAAAGAGAGGAAGATTTACTAAAAGCATGGGCAAAATTTGTTCAAGAAGTTGACCCTGACTTAGTTACAGGATATAATATCAACAATTTTGATATTCCGTATGTTTTAGAAAGAGGAGCTGCTTTAAAAATTCCCCACTTTGGGAAACTATCAAGAATGAGAAACAAAATAGCAGAAGTGAAATCTGTTAAGTTATCTTCAAAACAGATGGGAACACATGAAAATAAAGAGACAAACTTAGAAGGACGTATTGCTTTTGATATGTACCAAGTTATTATGCGGGAACATAAACTTTCCTCTTACACTCTCAACAACGTATCATACGAATTCCTGAGAGAGCAGAAAGAAGACGTGCACCATTCGATGATTAGTACTCTTCATAAGCAGAATAATTATACTCGGAGAAGACTGGCCGTTTACTGTGTTAAAGATGCTTACTTACCTCTTAGACTTATGGAGAAACTTATGTGTCTTTATAACTATTCAGAAATGGCCAGAGTCACTGGAGTACCTCTGAAGCTCCTCTTTACCAGAGGACAGCAGATTAAAGTCACTTCCCAGCTTTATAGAAAGGCATATGAGGTCGAGATGTTGATACCTAATGAGAAGAGAGATCCTGAATCAGGTGATAGGAATGCTTGATATGAAGGAGCAACTGTTATTGAACCTAAGGCTGGGTTTTATACAGATCCAATTGCTACCCTAGATTTCTCATCTTTATACCCATCTATTATGATGGCTCATAATTTGTGCTACTCAACTTTGATTCCTAAGAACAAGATTAAAGATTTCAAAGAAGAAGATTACGAACAATCTCCCAATGGAGACTACTTTGTGAAGAAATCTAAATGTGAAGGCCTTCTACCAAAAATCTTGAAAGAGCTTCTTGCAGCTAGAAAGATCGCAAAGCGTGAGCTTGCACAAGCAGAAGATCCTTTCCTCCAAGCTGTGCTGAACGGAAGACAGCTTGCCTTGAAAATTTCAGCTAACTCAGTCTATGGGTTTACTGGAGCTCAAAATGGAACTCTTCCGTGCTTGGAGATTTCCTCCAGTGTCACTGCTTACGGTAGAGAGATGATCGAACAGACTAAGAACATCGTTGAAAAGACTTACACCAAAGCCAAAGGAAGAAAGTATGACTGCAAGGTTATCTACGGAGATACAGATTCTGTCATGGTCAACTTCGGTAAGATATCTATCTCTGAAGCGATGGAGCTTGGCGAAGAAGCAGCAAATGAAATATCTAAGACCTTTGTGAATCCTATCAAGTTAGAATTTGAGAAGGTCTACCATCCCTATTTGCTCATGGCTAAAAAGAAATATGTTGGGCTACTTTATAGCTCGAGTGCAGAAAAACATGACAAAATGGACGCTAAAGGAATAGAAATTGTACGAAGAGATTGCTGTGGCATCGTCAGAGTTGTTATGAAAGAAGTTCTTAACAAAATACTTATCAATAAAGACACTGATGCAGCCATAGATGTAGTAAAGGGTGTGGTCTCAGATCTTCTACAAAACAGGATTGATATGAGCCAGCTGATTATTACTAAAGAATTGGGAAAGAAATCTCAAGCTCAAGAGGAAGAGGAACAGAAGACCAAGAAAGGCACCAAGAGCAAGGTAGATACTAAGAATAGTTACCAATCCAAACTTCCGCATGTAATGCTAGCTGATAGGATGAGGAAGAGAGACCCAGACACTGCTCCTACTATAGGTGATAGAGTACCATACGTTATTATTAAAGGAGCTAAGAATTCGAGGATTTATGAGAGAAGTGAAGACCCACTCTATGTCCTTGAAAATAATATTGAGCTTGATTATGGGTATTACCTTGAAAATCAATTAAAGAAACCTCTGATCAGGATCTTTGAGCCAATCATAAAGGATCCAGAGACAAAGTTATTCGCGGGAGATCATACTAGGATTATCTATAAGCCTAAAATGAGCAAGAAGGGAGGTGCTTTTGGAAGCTTCTTGAAAATAAAGAAAACTTGTATGGGCTGTAACACCCCTGTTAAGGACAATGAAGCTCTTTGCACCAACTGCTTGCCGACAAAAGGAAAGAAGGTATACTTGGAAAAGCAAATCGAGTATATGAGATATCAGAAGTCTTTCTCTGATTTATGGGTGCAGTGCCAGAGATGCCAAGGATCTCTTCATCAAGATGTAATTTGCAGGAATAAAGATTGTCCAATCTTTTATAGAAGAGTAAAATCTACAAAACTTTTGGAAGAGGCACAAGAAGAAATGAATAGATTCCTGACTTGGTAAATCAATTTCAATATAATGGGAATTATTCGGGGTTTTGGGGTTTTGGGGTTTTGGGGTTTTGGGGTTTTGGGGTTTTGGGGTTTTGGGG